TTATGAGATACATGTACAGAACATGCAGGTTTGTTACATAGGTATACACGTGCCATGGTGGTTTGCTGCACCCATCAACCCATCATCTACATTAGGCATTTCTCCTAATGCTATCCCTCCGCTAGCTCCCCACCCATCATCAGGCCCCGGTGTGTGATGCTCCCCTCCCTGTGTCCATGTGTTCTCATTGTTCAACTTCCATTTATGAGTGAGAACATGTGGTGTTTGGTTTTCTGTTCCTGTGTTACTTTGCTGAGAATGATGTTTTCCAGCTTTATTCATGTCTCTGCAAAGGACATGAACTCATCTTTTTTTATGACTGCATAATATTCCATCGTATATATGTGCTACATTTTCTTTATCCAGTCTATCATTGATGGCCATTTGAGTTGGTTCCAAGTCTTTTCTATTGTGAATAGTGCCACAATGAACTCATATGTGCATGTGGCTATATAGTAGAATGAAGTATAATCCTTTGGGTATATACGTAGTAATGGGATTCCTGGGTCAAATGGTATTTCTAGTTCTAGATCCTTGAGGAATCACCACACTGTCTTCCACCATGAGTGAACTAATTTACATGTCCACCAACAGTGTAAAAGCATTTTTATTTCTCCACAGCCTCTACAGCATCTATAGTTTTCTGACTTTTTAATGATTGCCATTCTAACTGGTGTGAGATGGTACCTCATTGTGGTTTTGATTTGCATTTCTCTGATGATCAGTGATGATGCTTTTTTTCATATGTTTGTTGGCCACATAAATGTCTTCTTTTGAGAAGTGTCTGTGCATATCCTTTGCCCACTTTTTGATGGGGTTGTTTTTTTCTTGTAAATTCATTGAAGTTCTTTGTAGATTCTGGATATTAGCCCTTTATCAGATGGATAGATTGCAAAAATGTTCTCCCATTCTGTAGGTTGCCTGTTTACTCTGATTATAGTTTCTTTTGCTGTGCAGAAGCTCTTTAATTAGGTCCTATTTGTCAATTTTGGCTTTTGTTGCCGTTGCTTTTGGTCTTTGAGTCATGAAGTCTTTGCCTATGCCTATAATCCTAAATGGTATTGCCTAGGTTTTCTTCTAGGGTTTTAATGGTTTTAGGTCTTACATTTAAGTCTTTAATCCATCTTGAGTTAATTTTTGTATAAGGTATAAGGAAGGGGTCCAGTTTCAGTTTTCTGCATATGGCTAGCCAGTTTTCCCAACACCATTTATTAAATAGGAAATCCTTTCCCCATTGCTTGTTTTTGTCAGGTTTGTCAAAGATCAGATGGTTATAGATGTGTGGTGTTATTTATTTCTGTGGCCTCTGTTGTGTTCCATTGGCCCACATATATGTTTTGGTACCAGTACCATGCTGTTTTGGTTGCTGTAGCCTTGTAGTATAGTTTGAAGTCAGGCAGCATGATGCCTCTAGCTTTGTTCTTTTTGCTTTGGATTTTCTTGGCTATATGAGCTCTTTTTTGGTTCCATATGAAATTTAAAGTAGTTTTTTTCTAATTCTGTGAAGAAAGTCAGTGGTAGCTTGATGGAGATAATATTGAATCTACAAATTACTTAGGGCAGTATGAACATTTTGATGATATTGATTCTTCCTATCCATGAGCATGGAATGTTTTCTCATTTGTTTGTGTCCTCTGTTATTTCCTTCAGCAGTGGTTTGTAGTTCTCCTTGAAGAGGTCCTTCACATCCCTTGTAAGTTGTACTCCTAGGTATTTTATTGTTTTTGTAGCAATTGTGAATGGGAGTTCACTCATGATTTGGCTCTCTGCTTGTCTATTATTGGTGTATAGGAATGCTTGTGATTTTTGCACATTGATTTTGTATCCTGAGGCTTTGCTGAAGTTGTTTATCAGCTTAAGGAGATTTGGGGCTGACACGATGGGGTCTTCTAAATATACATTCATGTCATCTGCAAACAGAGACAATTTGACTTCTTCTCTTCTTATTTGAATACCCTTTATTTCTTTCTCTTGCCTGATTGCCCTGGCCAGAACTTCCAATACTATGTTGAATAGGAGTGGTAAGAGAGGGCATCCTTGTCTTGTGCTGGTTTTCAAAGGGAATGCTTCGAGCTTTTGCCCATTCAATATGATATTGGCTGTGGGTTTGTCATAAATAGTTCTTATTATTTTGAGATACATTCCCTCAATAACTAGTTTACTGAGAGTTTTTAGCATGAAGGGCTGTTGAATTTTATCAAAGGCCTTTTCTGCATCTATTGAGATAATCATGTGGTTTTTGTGATTGGTTCTGTTTATGTGATGGATTACGTTTATTGATTTGCATATGTTGAACCAGCCTTGCATCCCAGGGATGAAGCCAACTTGACTGTGGTGGATAAGGTTTTTAATGTGCTTCTGGGTTCAGTTTGCCAGTATTTTATTGAATATTTTTGCACTGATGTTCATCAGGGATATTGGCCTGAAATTTTCCTTTTTTTTTGTTGCCAGGTTTTGGTATCAGGATGATGCTGGCCTCATAAAATGAGATAGGGAGGAGTCCCTCTTTTCCTGTTGTTTGGACTAGTTTCAGATGGTATGGTACCAACTCCTCTTTGTACCTCTGGTAGAATTTGCCTGTGAATCCATCTGGTCCTGGGCTTTTTATGGTTGGTAGGCTATTAATTACTGCCTCAATTTCAGACCTTGTTATTGGTATATTTAGGGATTCAACTTCTTCCTGATATAGTCTTGGCATGGTGTATGTGTCCAGGAATTTATCAATTTCTTCTAGATTTTCTAATTTATTTGCATAGTATTCTCTGATGGTAGTTTGTATTTCTGTGGGATCAGGGGGTGATATCCCTTTTATCATTTTTATTGTGTCTATTTGATTCTTCTCTTTTTCTTGTTTATTAGTCTGGCTAGTGGTCTATTTTGTTGAACTTAAAAAAAAACCAGCTCCGTATTCATTGATTTTTTTTTTTTTGGAGGGTCTTTTGTGTCTCTTTTTTCAGTTCTGCTATGATCTTAGTTATTTCTTGACTTCTGCTAGCTTTTGAATTTGTTTGCTCTTGGTTCTCTAGTTCTTTTAATTGTGATGTTAATTGTCAATTTTAGATCTTTCCTGCTTTCTTTTGTGGGCATTTAGTGCTATAAATTTCCCTCTAAACACTGCTTTGGCTATGTCCCAGCGATTCTGGTACATTGTGTCTTTGTTCTCATTGGTTTCAAAGAAGTTATTTATTTCTGCCTTAATTTCATTATTTACCCAGTAAGTCACTCAGGAGCAGATTTTTCAGTTTCCATGTAGTTGTGTGGTTTTGAGTGAGTTTCTTAATTCTGAGTTCTAATTTGATTGCACTGTGGTCTGAGAGACTGTTTGTTATGATTTCCATTCTTTTGCATTTGCTGAGGATTGTTGTACTTCCAATTATGTGGTCAGTTTTAGAATAAGTGTGATGTGGTGCTGAGAAGAATGTATATTCTGTTGATTTGGGGTGGATGTCTGTTAGAACCACTTAGTCCAGAGCTGAGTTCAAGTCCTGAATATCCTTGTTAATTTTCTGTCTCATTGATCTGTCTGATATTGATAGTGGGTGTTAAAGTTTCCCACTATTTTTGTGTGGGAGTCCAAGTCTCTAAGAACTTGCTTTATGAATCTGGGTGGTCCTGTATTGGGTGCATATATGATTAGGATAGTTAGCTCTTCTTGTTGCATTGATCCCCTTACCATTAAGTGATGCCCTTCTTTGTCTTTTTTGATCTTTGTTGGTTTAAAGTCTGTTTTATTAGAGACTAGGATTGCAACACCTCCTTTTTTATTTTTTTTGCTTGTTATTTGCTTGGTAAATATTCCTCTATCCCTTTATTTTGAGCCTATGTGTGTCTTTGCACATGTGTCTTTGCATGTGAGATGGGTCTCCTGAATACAGCACACTGATGGGTCTTGACTCTTTATCCAGTTTTCCTGTCTGTGCCTTTTAATTGGGACATTTAGCCTGTAAACATTTACATTTAAGGTTAGTATCATTGTGTGTGAATCTGATCATGTCATTATGGTGCTGGCTGGTTGTTTTGCCCATTAGCTGAGATGGAGTCTTGCTCTGTTGCCCAGGCTGGAGTGCAGTGGTGCGATATTGGCTCACTTCAACCTCTGACCCCTGGGTTCAAGTGATTCTCCTGCCTCAGCCTCCTGAGTAGCTGGGATTACAGGTGCACACTACCACACCCAGTTAATTTTTGTATTTTTAGTAGATATGGGGTTTCACCATGTTGGTCAGACTGGTCTCAAACTCCTGACCTCGTGATCCACCCAACTCAGCCTCCCAAAGTGCTGGGATTACAGGTGTGAGCCACATGCCCTGCCCATGACATTGTTTGTATGAGTTGAAAGCAATGAAATTTTGGAAGAGGAGGCAATTTACATATATAGTCAGAGATGAATGTCAAACTTTATCCTCCCAGTAAGGTAGAATTACAAATAGAATCACTTTTTATCTTATACTTAAAATTTCTTATACTTAAAATACCTTATACTTGGGATTCCTGTGGCATGGTCAAGTTTTGACAATACCTTTCATAAACCCTTTTAAAATTGATTATAGTTTTGAAATTTAAGAGGATATAGTAGTCATCATAGGTTTACTGCTGTAATAAACAAGCTTGCAATCTCAGTGGCCTAATGCAAATTAGGTTTATTTTTCTCATACATTACAACCAATGTGGACTGCAGCAGGCGTGGACTCTGGACCCAGGTGTTTGAATCTGGTGGCTCCTAAGTCAATCCTTAGAGCCCTTCACTGGCTCCTGTGTCTCTGGCTGCCAGATGAGAAGAGAGAGTCAGGGGAAATCCACAGGAGACCTGGGAGCAGCATCTGTCACCTCCACCCACAGGCATTGGCCAGTGTTCACACCATTGGCCCTGCCTAACCACAAGGGAAGCTGGCTGGGAAGTGTTGTCTCTCTGTGCCCACATGGAAAAGGCACTGGGGTTTAGGGACAGGGATGAGTTGCTGTTGCAAGGCTGACCTCTTTTCTCTATTTTGTTTCTTTTCCAGGAGACTTCTTGGCATTATCACAAAAAAGGATGTTCTGAGACATATGGCCCAGATGGCAAATCAGGACCCTGAATCCATCATGTTTAATTAGCAACAAGGTGGCAATTATTTTCAGAAAAACACTGACTGTGTCATTTAAAAAGAAGTAAATGATATGTTATATTCCAATGAAATATCACGCACTGGAGACAGCAGAAACAAAAGCTTTGTTTGAAAGGAAGGGAAGAAGAATGAAACCTTTAAAAACAAAAGTATCAATGATTAGGCATTTTATAGCTTTAACCCTGTATGAGTTTCAAGCTGTGTTTCCTAATGAGTTTGCTACTGCTGTGGGGGCATGTGGGTGGGTGTAAATGATGTGATCTACACAAGTATGTGGAGCATGAATGCTGACTCAAGAAACTTTTACCTGTTCTGCTCAAGGCTGATGTTTGTAACTTACAAACACACGTGAAGCGTTGAGTCCAAAAGACAAAAGGGTATCAGCATGTCAGCATCCTTATTTATTGGTTCTTGAAATTTTGCTGCTATGTTACTGAATCATATTAAAGACATTTGCACTTACTTTGTTGAAAAGGAAAAATTAAATTTGAACACAGTGAAAGCTGCAAGTATGCCAGTGGGTTCGCTCACAACCATCCCATTTCTTACTCCTGTTCTCAGCCTGTTATCTGGCTTATCCATCAGTTTCTGAACCAACACCAGGTGCGCCTGCCATGATGAGTGTGAAGAAATCATTTCTCTATGCAAGACTGGCATCCTGGGCCTGCACGATGAACCATTGGAGCATATAGTACTGTGCTGTGTCTCCTCCCATACAAAGGGACGTAATGTTATTTTGAGGGTATACACACCCGATCATTGATTTGCATCCCCATTGCATTTGCTTCATTTATTTATTGCTTTTGCCCATGCATTCAATATTGATCATCTCAGCACTTCATGAACCATAGCTGGTAGTCCCCCAGTCTGCCATAAGCGTGCTTTCATTTACAAGTAGCCTATGCAAGAGTCCAAACAGGCTACCCAGTGTTACCACTTATTTTTCCTCTCAGGTCTTATCAAATACGACTGTGGAGAGGATGAGGCATATGAGTTCTCAGTGGGAACCCCTCCAAATGGATTGCAAGAGAAATACTAAATTGATTCTAAATCTGTTCCATTATCTTCTCTGTAGGATGCAAAATGTCCGGTTTGAATGTATAAGCATGTACTTCATACTAGCAATCACAGCACAGGAGGACAGCATTAAATTTTATACAGCCAATTTGAGCACCGGGCATCTTTGTATTTGAACTTAATGACACATTTACTCTTTTAGTCAGGAGTTTGGTCTTTTCTGCAGGAAAGAATTAAACTATGTATTAGATCCACCATATGATCTGTGTAAGATTATCCCATTGCCCTTGCTCTTAAGTCTTTGTCCCTGCCTTTTCACTGAGTGCCCCTTGTCCTTTTAAATCTCATTGTCACTGGATAGTGCTGCATCACTTAGGTGTGCATTTGGCTGCAAATAACAGAAAACCCAGCAAACACTGAAGGACTGAGTAAGAACCCTGAGAGAGGGTACTCCAGGACTGTCTCCATAATATCACTGGGTTCCCCATTCCATTCTATTTCATTTTCACCATTTTTACCTTTTGTCCTCTGGCTTATTGCCTCAGAGTTGAAAGATAGTTCCTGAACCATCAGGTATCATGTCTGCTTTCTAAGTGGGAAAAGAAAAGGAGAGGCAAGCAACTACGTACAATGTCTATCAGGAAAGGAAAGCTTCCTCAGAGATGCTCAGCTTGTATCTGTTGCTGGAAGTCTGTCATGTGGCTCCTGGTAGCCACACACTAGTGCGGGAAGGAAAATATTGAGCTAGGCACATTACTCTCTGAATGACATTCCTATTATCTTACTAAGGAAGAGTGTTGGTCTTCGGGAGGGGAAGTTTGCCATACTGGATGCCATCGTTATGTCCTTGTCATTGCTCTTCCTGTATTCAATCTTGCCAAACCCCTGTGAATGTTCTTCTAACCTTCTTGTTCCTCATCCCTTCTCTCAGATTTGACCTAGAAGTTCCAGCCCAAATCCAAAATTTCTTAGCCCTCATAAGAATTTTTATGTTGGACAAAAATCAAGCTACAAATGGGTTTTCATGAAACTTCTAATTAATGTGCAAAATATATATTTTCTCTAAGTTAAGAAATTTTAAATCAGATCATGCTGACACACTAAGAACCTTTGTGTGATTTACTGGTTCCTTCCTTCCAAAATAACATCCAGTAGCCACCTCAGTATGGCAATATCCAGTCAATAATAGAGAATTTAATCATTGGTCCTATAAAATAATAAAATTCATTGTCTTATTTATAGCATGTAAGCCTTGAGTAACAGATCTTATTGTTAGTGTTGGTGTTGTGGTTTCCACGGAACGTTTACAAGTGAAGTTGGGTTCTCCTGGACTTTAAATCCTAAAAAGTCTTAACGACCACTTCATGTAGTTCCCCTCTTATTGCCCTGTGGCCTCCTCAGAGTCAGTGCATGCCGGGAAAGAGTATTAGTCATAGCCTGGATTTATAGAATCCAGGAGGTCAGTTTAAACAAATAGCTTCCAAAGGGAACCTGAAACAGTGAAAAGATAGCCAGAGATCAGTGAAACCACAGCCTTTCTTTCTAATCTGGCTGAGGCCAAGGAGAGGAATGAGAGGAAAATATGCTTCCCAGCCAAGGTCACCGAGCAGAGCCTTGGGATTTGTGTCCTCCCCAGTGCTTAGAGTAGAGATGTCTGCAAATTCATGGCATACAGTTGGAAGAGTTACTTGACTGAAACAACCCGGTCTTACTTTACTTTGTAAATTGAGCCTCTAATTTATTGTGGGGTTCAGGCTCTCCTCAATAGAAGGCCAGAGTCAGGGGGTGGACTAAGGTCAAGGAACAGGAGTCTGTGGTAGGGACTACCACAGCAAACTGCCTTCCTTCTGTGGAGTTTTAACTCAGCCATGTGGTCCACTCACCCATGGGCCTGGGGGCTCAGACAAACCCCATGGGAAACATGCTGATGTGCTCTGTCTCTCTTTCTTGTAAATGTACGTGGGTAGGGATCCTGAGAGTATTTGCTCTGTCCAAATGCAGAACTTACATCCACTTTATCTGGTGATCTGATGAACAGCACAGAGATGTGGAGACAAAATAAGCATCTTTCAGAATAATATTTTCTTTTTCTTCTTCGTTCAGAACCAAAGGTTTTAGACATTTGTAGAACTCTCTGGATTCTCTCTAAATCAGTTTTTAACATAAAAAACCACCAACACATCATGGGAAAGGCACTCTCATGACACACATCACCTGTTTCTTGCTTTTACTGAGGAAATGTGTTGTACAAAAGCACCAAATAAGGGGACCCTGGAAGTGACATGTGCATTTCTTCTAAGTGGATTTTAGTGCATCCCCTGGGAATGCAGATGCTCATGTGGCTTTTAGGGAAAGGCAGAATGTGCTACAAGTCAGTCATTCACTATTCAATGCTCACTGTTACTTTGAACCAGGTAATCTCAGTTCTTTATTCGGTCCTTCCCAAAGACCTTACAAAGGAGATGTCCAAATAGATAGATTTTGAGCCTAATAAGTCACAGAAATGGAAAATTTTAGAGCAGTTTCTTTCACTTAGGTGAGAACTGATTAAATTACCAATATGTGCAAATTCTACTTAGTATTCATTATTAGATTCTGAGCTGGAAAAGATGAGAAACCCAAGGAGAACTATTGAATTACCATGCAATTGTAATATTATGCTTTCATTTTAACTTCGTGTTGGCAGTGTTCTATTAGACTAAGCTTCTAACCTTTGAAATGATTTACATGAGGAGAGAGCCTGTATAGCTGACTTGGGAAACATTAAGCAGACCCTATTTTCACTGGCGCGGTAATAACTATTTATTTGCCATCCTAGAGGTGCTTGGAATGAGCCTACGTGTGACTTTTATGAGATATATTCACATTTGGTGTTGGAACGACCACATAGCAAAGTGTTGTTTTATTTTTAATTGTAATACTCTGTGTAAATGTTGGCACCTTATTAAATATTAAATGTTTGAACTCTATTTTTAAAAATAAAACAAGCACAGAGTCCACAACAAACATATTGTAAATGGAAGAGATACTGATTTCACAGTGTGTTTCTACACAGTAGAACCTCTGGAAACCTGGTTCCTTTAACTTGGTTGGAGTATCCAGTAAAGTTAAAGACTCAGCCTTAAGACTGATATACAGATTGTGAAGTCCATTCAGTCAGCTTTAAAATTCCTTGTTCTTGGCTGGGTGGGTGATGACCAAATAAAAATTCAGACTGAGGCTGTCCGTTTCCAAGGATTGGGTAGGAACACTGTCCGCAGGCCATGTGTGTGTTTGCCTTGTGTGAAGGTTGGGGAGTACAGTTTGGGCAATGGTTTAACATTCATTCATTCTTTCACCCTTTCTTTCAACAGAAAATTTTCTATTTATTACTTTGGGAAACACAAGGGTTGAATTATGTCTTTTCCCATGAGTTTTTTTTTTTTCTTTAACTTTCTACTTTACAGAAAATTTGGAAGAAAGACAAGAAAGGAACAAAGGATGCCTACAGATCCTTAACCAGAAGAGGTGCTATTTAATATGGGTGGTTAGAGGAATCCCTGCTGGTTAGGGGAGGGGACCAGCTGGGGGCACAGCTGGGGAAAGGGTATCCTCAGCAGAGGGGACAGCAACTGCAAATGTCCTAAGATGGAAATGGGTCTAGCCTGCTGGGGGCCCACCAGGGGTGGATGGCTGCAGCCTTGGGATGGGAGTGGGGTTATTTGAAGTTGCGTTTATTTTCCCTTTGGGAGGAGGGTAGACACAGCAGATGCTTCAGGGTCTTGAAAGACCAGGTAAAGTCCTGGAATTCAGAGGAGTGACATGATTTGACTCGTGTTGTCCACAAACTATTCTGGCTGTTGGACAGCAAGACTGGAAGCCAGGGCTCTGGATAAGAGTCTGTTGCAAAGAGCCCAGGCACGGTGGCTCACACCTGTACTCCTAGCACGTTGAGAGGCCAAGGTGGGCGGATCACTTGAGATCAGGAGTTTGAGACCAGCCTGGCCAACATGGTGAAACCCTGTCTCTACCAAAAAAATACAAAAATGAGCCAGGCATGGTGGCAGGTCCCTATAATTCCAGCTATTTGGAAGGCTGAGACACAAGAATCGCTTGAACCTGGGAGGCAGAGGTTATAGCAAGCCGGGATTGTGCCACTGCACTCCAGCCTGGGCAACAGTGCAAGACTCCATCTTAAAAAAACAAAAAGAGTCTATTGCAAATAGGTGAGTGATGATGGGAGCTTGCCCTAGAAAATTCTTGAATTCCAGTTATACAGTTGCTCCGCAGCATCTGTGGGAGATTTCTTTCAGAACTCCCCCATAGATTCCAAAATCCATGATGCTTTAGTCCCTTATATAAAATGCTGTATTAATTGCATATAGTCCACCCATGTCCTCCTGTCTACTTTAAACATTCTCTAGACTACTTAGAATACTTAGTTCAATGTAATGCTATGTAAACAGTTGTTACACTGCATTGTTTATGGAATAGTGAGAAGGAAAAAGTCTGT